TTTTTTTAAAATAAAAATATTTTAGAAAATGTATATTTATTATTTTAAAAATTATAAATGTTTTGGAAAATGTATATTTTAAAAAAAGAAATAGAAAATGTGTATATATATATTTTTTAAATTTAAGATTTAGTTATAGTAGTGTTTAAAAAAAAACCTTAAATTTGACGAGCCGGGGAGTCGAGCTGCTCATTGGAAACGAGCCACGAGCTCGGCTCGTGCCAGTATGGGCCGAGCCGGCTCGGCTCGACCCATTGACACCACTATGAAAAGGCTATTGTTCAATTTGGAGAATTTTCAATAATTTCTCTCAATCCGATCCGATTTATTATAAATAATTGAGTCGGTAAAATATTTTTATGACATATTGCCCGTGTTTGACGCCCGGTTTTTGCCTGTTTTTCAACAGTAGAATGCATTATTTTGTTGACCCACTGTCCTTGCCAAGAAATTCACTGTCAGACGCAAGGAATATCAACAGTGGAAAAGGGACAAAGCTGCAGGCAAGAAAAGAACTTCCCAAGTTTGCCCTTCTATGTTTTTGGCTCAATTTCAGGTGGTAGGTGCCGGCACGTGAATTGCTTTGTACATGGATGAAGTTGTGTTGAAAAGTCAAAAATTCAACTAATGTATTTTATTTTTGGACGTCAATTTTCTTTGCAAAATGTTGAAGTAAGTCTTGTAAATATTAAAGCCATACATTAGCATCCGAATCATGAATATTACACCAATACATTTTTCCCTTTTTCGAGAAATAATTAATTCGTGAAGCATGCCTTATTTATGAAATATTAGCATCCGAATCGTACGACATAAGCAATACAAACATACGTTCCCCACCACGACTTCGATTAATAGGCACTAACGTAACGCATGTGCCATGTAATCACGTACTCGCACCCACGACATGTCCTCTTCGGCTATTGCATCGAGCTCTGCGGCATTCTCGTCTTCTTCATCTGGTAGATCTATCTCTACCTCTTCGTCATCTTCTTCTTCGGCTCTACGAAAACCCTCATCCATCCGACCGTTCCTCCGTAAGAAGTTATGTATACCCATTATAGCGACGACCACAGCTGATTGCGCTCTCATATTATAAGCAGACATTCAATCAACTATCTTCCACCTCTGTTTCCGACCACCGAAGGAGATCAACTATCTTCCACCTCTGTTTCCAATCACCGAAGGCACGCTCAATATCGTTACGGCATGAGGAATGATGAAAATTAAACCGCTCCCGTGCATTTCTAAACCGACGGCGTTGCCCATCCCTTGCACGTTCGAACTCTTGGAAATGGTATCTAATATCGGAGCCCTTATATGGAGCCATGTAACCAGGCCTATGTGCGAACCCTGAGTCAACCAGGTAATATTTCCCATTCGCGGGTTCTGGAAAATTGATATCCAGACTATGTACAGCCCGGGCCAATATGCGACTATCGTGGGTGTTCCCAGTGGTGCCCGGCAGCACGAACGTAAAGCAAAGGTTGAAATCGCATGCGGCCAGTACATTTTGTGTTGGCATTCCCTTCCTCCCAATGTAATTCTAATGGGGTACCGTTCCACATGTGGATGATGGTGAGCTGCACCTTCGTTATACCTCGGATCTGGTTTAATCATGTCCACTGCAAACGCTACGCAAGCACGCAATGTTTTCTTGAAATAATACGATATGGTCTGCAACGAATGATTGAACAGCGTTTGCACTTGGCGATAACCTTTGCCATGTGCTAGTATACACAAAAACATTCCCACTTGCTCATAAATGTCAATGTTTGCGCTGCTGGAAAGATTGTACTGATCACGGAGGATGTGCGTGAAATACATAAACATCGGAGGATACATCCGAAATTCCTGAAAACATGTTTGAGGATAAACATGTAGATTTTGGAGCATAAAAATATGGCCACATCGCGCTGTTGGAAATAAATATCGACGTGCTCCATTTGGTGCCAAGTAATCCCGAACAGTGCGCTCGGCAATTCTGCAATAATTGAGCCAGATGTTGATGTCATCCTCCAACTGCTGCATAAAGTCTTCGTCCGAACTCGATGAGGAATCAGACATGGAGTCAATGTTGCAATCTGTTTCCGAAGATGACTGCTGATCGAAATAGTGCGACATATTTTCTGAAGAACAGCGTGGTGTAGCGCACTAGAACGTGAAATAAGAATTTGTTTGTGTTATCAATTGGGGATACCCTACAGAATTGGCTTCTTGAAGAAATATTGATATGGTTTCTCTAATTGTCGACTGCCATGACATCGGTACTTATAACAAGGGAAAGTGCTTTCATGATGTAAGAAAGTTCCTACAATCCGTGACATGCGTACGTATGTATTCTCCTTCAAATAAATCTTTGATTGCTCCATCACGGGGAAAATCCTGATGAGAGAAATTCGGAATTGACATAAATCAATTTGCAGGGACTGAATATTATTGCAGTGTCCCTCATATGGAATATATTCTTTTCTCTTTGATGGTATGTGAAGTAAGTTTGCAGGGAATATATTCTCCTGTCTTTGAATTTTCTTGAAACCAATTTGCAGGGAATATATTCCCTGCAACATGCACAAATCACTTTTCAATTTCAATATTTGTCCCGCCATAAATACTGATTTTGTGAGCATATTAATTAGGATAGTTTTCTTTAAATTTAGGCCTTAATTTCATTGTGCAAGGGTGAAAGCATCATCAATGTCATAAATATATTACACACTCATCGAACCAGTACGACAAATCGAAAATAACACAAACAAATAGTACAATGAAAAAGACGGCAACCTACGGGAAAATTAATGCAACAGAATTTTGTGAAAATCTAACTGTAGAGCTCACACGTCACGCGGTCGTGACTGCTTGTCCCTCTCGAAGCAGTACTCAACGAACTTAAAACGCAAGTAAGGTGTCTCAGCAGCCGCGTACGATTTTCGATTGTCTTTTTCCCGTAAGAACCACAGTGCAAAGAGGTGGATCTCGTCACCCGTCTGGACATGCCCCGAAGACAGTAGTTCCTTCACGCAGTCGCCAACTGACATCACATCGTTCTTATATGATCTTGCGATGGAGGCAAGATCAGTACCAACACTGACCATTTGCTCAAGCGACGCTGAAACCTCACGGGCACCGTACGATTTCTTCTTCCGTCTCTGTTTCCTTATGCATTTGCCTTTTCTTTTTTCCCCACTACGGTTCCCGGATATATTCATCGCCGAACATGTTCTACCATCGTCCGGACTTGCACTGGAATCTGTCCCCTCGGCGTTGATGGGCACCGCGTCGCCTCTGTACTCCCTGTCGCTGTCTGTGCTCAAGTCAAGTCCACGTTGCGACAACTTTGTTGGGGACACCGCATATTTGGCAGAGTCACCCGTGTCGCCGAACAATTTCCCGTACGTGTCGTATATCTCACTGCAGTCAAAATTTTTAAACTTTGCGTATTTCGGGTTTTCCTGCATGAAAGCGATAAACAGCTAGTCATATGTACGAGCAATTTCAAATAACTACAACGAACATGTGAGAAATTGGAAATGGTCCAAATATAAACATGCAGGAAAGAAGCTTAAGATTGGTAGTGCATTGCAAGTGAAGTAAGCCAAACGTAAGCCTTTTACGATAACTCTCCGCTACGGGCGTTTCCCATTTGTACAGGTAGGAGTTCATGATACATTGACGACGAACAAGAAAATTGCGCAATCTCAGCAATGGTTACAAGTAAAAAGGGAAACAACTGATGAATGCAATCTGTGAACAAGATAAATGTTTATCCTAAAAGCTGTCTAATATCAAATCACCTAGCATTGCTTGTTCACGAGTGTTCACAAAGTCGTCTTCTTCATCAATGACTGCACGATGTAGCAATGGACCCGTGCAGTAGAGAAATCAAACATGGGTTGCAAACTGTCAGTAATTGTCCCCTCGTCATTAAGCTACTGATTCAGCCATATTGTAGTGCAGCAAAACAACACTAAAGTCACGGTCCAGACAATGTTGTTCAGTGGCTAATAATGGAATAAATTGATAGAGAAGGGCTTAGAACAAGCCTAGTGATGAACACAACATGGATCAACTATCATAAGCTAAAGACTCGCACTCAGTAAAATTGAAAAGGGCATGTTTCAGCAACACAAATTCTGTAATCAAAATTCCCAATGAGTTACATGTCTTATAGCAGCAGCCAAAATTGGGAAGAAACCGTTGACATACCTTGATTTTTGCTTCCCACCAATGATCCGGGGCGTGAATTCTTCCGGATCCCGACCGGTACTCAATACCGGTGCATCGCAGTAACTCGAACAGGTGTTTGTGGTCTGTTCGGAGTTTATTCCAATAGTTCTTCATTTGGGTGGTAGTCCAATTCTTTCCTGTTGATGCGTTGAAGAGGTCTGCGATGCGAGCCCAGCCGTTCGGGGAAAAGCATTTACCACGTCGATGGCCTTCGGCGATAACAAGTTCACAGGTCTCAATAAACACTTTGTGCTCCGTTGGGTTCCATCGTGCCGACTTCCGGACGCTTGTCTGAGGCGAACGACGGCTGGAAGACGTATGAGTGAACGGCTCTCTGCAAGCTTGTGGGTAATGCTGCAATTGGAAAGCAGGGATAGTCAATTACCCACTGGAGGACGGAAGACAAAGATCGATAACAAAAAAAAAAGAATTCTTCCACTGCAATTCGAAGAGCAGGACGCAAAATAGAGGCCAACCGAAGACGAGTTGAACGTGGAATCTCTTACCGTGTCACCCGGGTTACACGTCCACTGGGACCCGTCGTTGTCCATAGAAGGCAAGTACGGTGGAAGAGACGCTTGGCTCGGCGGGAAGATCCTTGCTGCTTTGGAAGTGGGCGGTCGTTTTGACCATGTACAGAGAGAAGCAGATATCTGTGGCGTTGTGGGAAGGTGAATTTGTTCCCTGATTAGTGGGTTGCACCGGCGATTTCTGCTCAGCTGCGGCGGTTGAAATGGGTGTCGGTGGTGCTGTGTCGTGTAGGGTAAAGAACAGAGGGATTTTGTGAAAGTGTGGTGATTTGCAAGAGACGTTGAGGGCAAAATGGGGAGTTAATGCAACGGTCACTTTGGGCATTAGTGTGGTCTGACAAAAAATTCAATTCTCCTGACTCTTCCCACCACGTCACTGTAGCAAAATGAATTTTAAACCCAAAAAACGGGCGTCAAACACGGGCATTATTTGTCACTAAAATAAATAAATTTAGAATAAAAAGTAATTAAATTCATAACATAAAAAAGTTGAAAAATTTATAATTATTAAACATGTTTAAGAATTGAAAATTTTGAAAAAAAAAAAAGTTGATTTCAACCAATATTTTAAAAATTGACCCGGGCATCGACCCG